AGGTGCCACCCTGCCCTGCTCTGCCATTTACAGTGGTCTTAGATATTCAAGAGTGCTTCTTTCACTACTGTTTCCAATCAAATTCTAAGGCACAGAACGCCCTTCTTCAACTAATCCTCCAAACCACTACCCTAGCCTCTTCTGAATCCCATGAGGTCATGGACTTCAGTGCTGCCTAAGAACAAAACAAAGCTAATCAATCCAGCTTACGCTAATAAGCCAGTTAGGTTGAGCTGATACTTATAGGGAGAAAAATGATTCACAACAGTTAAGTCAGACATTAGCTCACACAACTGATTACTTTATTACAGCTGCCGCCGCCGCCTCCTCTGTGTACTGCTTGCTATGCCAGCTTTTGGCAGCTGGTTTCAAAGAAGGCCCTCATTTTGCAAATGCTAACAGAGAGAACTTCACTCTTGTCTGTAATTTCCCCCCACTGCCAAGTAAAGCACCTGCAGTATTGTGCCTGCAGTTTAAGCATTAGATGTTGGCTGCAGCCAAGGCTGGGAATTTTGACTGGGTTGTGCCAGTGCTGCTAGGACTTAAAGCCAGAGGTTCCTGGCTAGAGGGTCTTGCCCCTCTGCTCAAGGTCAGACCAACTGCTACATTTTGGGCTGCAGTCAGATTGGTACAGACTGGGTGGTAGTTGCCTTCCTGCGTAGCAGAGGCATGGTCTCTACCTGGGATCTCAATAAGGAGCAGGACGTTGGTTGCTGTGGTCCTTCTACTTTACCTGGGGCAGGTTTGGGTTTGATGTCTTCTGTTGTGTCAGGGTCAGTGGTAGTTTTACAAAGAATTTAGATTATGGCTTTGTGTAGCATGGTTTGGATAGGGCTGATTCTGCCTCAGGCAGGGAGTTCAACTTGATGTCACCTCTGCATCCCCTTCCAACCCCACTTGATTCTGTGTCAAGGTGTGTGTATGCACAGTAGGATTTCAAGACATTTTAGCATTATCACAGCCTAAATTAGCCAGGGTTGCTACATTTAATGACTAGGGGTTACAACAGGTCACAATGACACTCCATAACTTTATTCTTCATTTGCCTCCTAAAGGATGACGCCAAGCTGAGGGGAGTGGTAGATATGCTGGAGGATAGGGCTAGGATTCAGAGAGACCTTGACAAATTGGAGGATTGGACTTAAATCTTATGATGTTCAGTAAAGAGAAGTGCAAAGTCCTGTACTTAAGACAGAATAGTCCCATGCATTGGTGCAGGCTGGGGGTGACTGGCTGGGCAACAGGTCTGCAGAAAAGGCCCTAGGGGGACAGTGGACAAGAAGCTGAACAGGAGCCAGCAGTGTGCCCTTGCTTCCAAGAAGGCTGACAGCGTCCTGGGCTGCGTTGGTAGGAGCGCTGCCAGCAGATGGAGGGAGGTGATTCTTCCCCTCTATTCAGCACTGGGGAGGCCACACCTGGAGTCCTGTATCTAGTTTTGGGGCCCCCATTACGGAAGAGATGTGGACAAATTGGAGAGATTCCAGAGGAGGGCAATGAAAATGTCTTGGGGGTTGGAGCACATGACTTGAGGAGAGGCTGAGGGAGCTGCACTTATGAGGAGGGGATTTGATAGCAGCCTTCAACTCCCTGCAGAGGGGTTGCAAAGAGGATGGAGCTGGACTGTTCTTAGTGGTACAAATGACAGAACAAGGAGCAATGGGCTCAAGTTGTAGCAAGGGAAGTTGAGGTTTGATATTAGGAAAAACTTTCTCACTAGGGGGGTGGTGAAGCACTGGAACAGGTTACCCAGAGAGGTGGTGGGATCTCCATCCTTTGAGGTTTTTAAGACCCAGGTAGGCAAAACCTTGGATGGGATGATGTAGTTGGGGCTGGTCCTGTTCTGAGCAGGGGTTTGGACTAGGTGGCTTGCTGAGGTCCCTTCCAACCCTTATTGTCTGTGATCCTATGACTTGTGCATTCTGTTCCACCTTACAGTGCTGGAAATATTATGCTACAATGTTGGACATAACACACACCATAATTATGTTTCTTCCTTCTCTGAGTGATATCCCAAAGCAGTACCTACCTCAGCTTCATCTAGTTTGAATCTGAATACCAAATAGACTGTCACCCCATATACTTAGTTATTAACAGATCAGCACAACAGATTGTCATATGTTCCACACACTTAGGAAATTATTTTGCCTTGGCATTGCTGAGATCACACCTAAAGCTTTACTTACTTCAGAAAAGGAGCTTGAAGATGGGAGTGGGGCAAAAAAAAATAAGTCAGTTCAATGAAAACACTCACTAAAAAGCTGATGTTTAAATTCTTCGCTCCGTCTTCCTGTATCGATCTGATTCATCAAGTCATTGGAAAAAAACATTTAAATAGTAATGAAAGGCATGTGATTCTTTTGGTTTTTACTAAGGCAAGGACTAAAAAAGTGGAAGTCCTGTTTTATTTCTGACATGTACTTGCTACCCTTCCCAGCAAAGGCTCAGAGCAGCTAGAGAACAATATGAAACAGTACAACTTGCAACAACTTACAGTGCTAACATAAAATACAAACCAACCTACCTAAACAACGTCCCAGCTTGGTAAACGCCTGCCCAAGCAGAAAGGTCCAGGGTGCTTCTGGAAGATGTCCAGGCTCCGGCTCTGGCGGCCTCAAGGATTGAGTCCCAAGGCTGAGGAGCAACTGCTGCAAACAACCTTCCCACATGTTTTTGCCATGCAGCCTTGGCAAACTGATGGTCCTTGCAGAAGGTTGCTCTTGGCTGACCTCAGGAGTCATGATGAGGCATAAGGGAGCAGGTCATTTAGGGCCATAGAGGTCAAAACCAGCACCTTGGATTGTGCCTGGAAAGATATAAAAAGCCAGTGCAGACTGCAGTTTCTTTTTGTTATTCATATATTTTGTGTTCCAGGTCAAATCAACCAAATCATATCTACTGAGCACAAAATCATTCCAAAAACAATGTCGATTGAGCAGGCAGAACTCAATCATTCTAACTACCTTGTCTGGTGCTATGGCCAGTGAGCATCCTCCCTCCCAGGCTCTCATCCTTGGATTTCAGATACTCCCAAATCCATCGGCAGGCATCCTATGTGCCGGCCCAAGCCCAGATGCCCCCGTTTGATCTTAGCCCACAAGAGGCCAAGACACTTGATCTGAGCCAAATGCTTCTAGGCACAGAAGGTGGGTGAGTTTTTGTTGTTGTTCTAAGGAAAATTTTGTGTCTCCCAAGTCAAACCAGCCATATCAGTTCCAAATCCTTTCAATCCTTCAAGAACCACACGTGGCCCTACTACCAGCAAGTATACCCCACCCCAAACTTTCCAGCCTGGGGCTTCGGATACTTCCAAATCTTTTGGCGGGCATCCTACCCGCTGGCCCAAGCCCAGAGGATTGGGGTTTGGATGCCAACGAGTTTCACTTGCCCTCAGCTGTACGGCCGCAGGAACAAACGGGGGAAAAATCTCCCATGTCAATGAAGTCGGTGTGTAGCCAAAATCCTCCTGCTGGAAGCTGGCCAGCGGGAAGCTTGTCGGCAGTCCTGTCTGCAAGCAGATGAGGGTGCAACCCTCCACTACTCAGCGCCATTTTAATTGCATCACCTCAGTCACGGCGTTAGCACGAAGGGGAGCCTTGGCTCCACTGGGATTGCACGAGACAACTGGCAGTCTCTTCTGGACCGAGTGCAGGGCAGAGATGTGTCCCCTAGGCCGCGGTGATAAGCACGCAGTAGGCAGCAGTGCAGGCCGCTGGGCCACGGCGCTGCAGTCAAGATTGAACCCAGCAATTTGCAGCCCCCTGGCAACTTTGGGCTTGTTCACTCCTTGGTTTGCTTCTTCCCTGAATCCCTCCACGTGCTGCAGGGCTACCTGGCACATGCCTGCACGTGGGGACCTGCCTTTTCCCGCCGCTGGGTCTCAGAGGCACAGCCCCACTTCTTCCGGGGGACTTGACCCCAAGCCCCGCCCTTCAATTAGGGCAGCCCTGAGCCCTCCTTCAGGCCTCCTCTTTCTTCCCCTCTCGCTGCAGGTGGCTGAGGCCATGGCGGAGCGGCCACGCAAGCACCACCGCAAGTCCAAGCGCTGCCTGCTGTGCGAGGCGCCCTTTCCGGGCACGGCGGAGGGGGAGCTGTGCCCCAAGTGTGACACCCCACTCCCCACCACCCAGCTGGACCTCGAGGCCGAGTGGCGCAGCAGGCCCCTGTCTCCCAGGCTGGCGCGGGCCTCCACTGGGGACCCCCGCAAGGATAAGCGCAAGGCCCAGGCACAGGTAACTCCCTTGCCACTAACGGGGACAGATCTCAACGCCCCCTCCAGCAGCTGCTGATGCCCCTAACCCCAAGCTCAGGGGCACCAGGGAGGGGGGGCAGCTCCTGCTGCCACCCACTGCCCCTGCAGCCCCTGCCTGCCTCTGCCCTGGGTCATGCCCGAGGGCTGCCCCACAACCCTGCAACAAAACCGGGGGGGGGGGCACCTGCAGGCCGAGCACAGGCTGCAAGGCCGGGTGTGCTGACCCGACCGCATCTCCCCCCCGCCCCGTGTTATTGTAGGGTCTTCACCCCACCCCCCCCCGGTTATTTTAAGGTCTCCCGGAGGCTGTTATTGCAAGGTCTCCCCCCCTATTATTTTAGGGTCCCCGCAGTGTTTTTTATACGGTTTCCCCCATGTTATTGTAGGGTCCCCCTTTATTTTAGGGCCTCCCCCCGGGTGTTATTTTAGGGTCTCTGCTCGTGTGTTGTTGTTGTAGGGTCTTCACCCCGTGGGGTCTCCATCCCCACCCCCGTGTTATTTTAAAGTCTCCCGCCGGGTGTTATTATAGGGTCCCCGTCCCGTGTTATTGTAGAGTCCCCCTGTTATTTTACGGTCCCCCCCGGTGTCATTGCAGAGTCCCCAGGCCCGGCCTTCACTCCCGGGGGGTGGGGCCTACACTACTAACCCCGCCCCCCGTGGCGGTGGGGGAGGGGACGGAACCCGCGCGCCCGGTGGCGGTTGCTGGGGGGCGGGGCGACTGCGGACGTCGCGGTCCGTTCCGGCGGGGCCGGGCACTTCCGGTGCGGGCGGGGCAGGAGCGGAGTCCGCGGGCAGGAGCGGAGCCGGGCGGCGAGTAGCAGGTCAGAGCCGGGGGGCGTCGGGGTGGTGGGGGGGCCGGGGCCTGCCCCCCCCCCCCGTGCTGGCATCGCTGTTACGTTGCAGGGCCCTGTGTCATGCGGGGGGGGCATGTATTTTGCTTTGCTGGAGAGGGGGGGGCCTGTGCTGCAATATACGGAGCCGCTGAACTTCGAGGTGCGGTCAGCGCCCCAAACGTCCACGTCCGGCGTTCACGAATGCTTCGGGCGTCGACACGGCTGACCGCGGCACGGATCTACCGCCTGGGAGTGAACGGGCCCTGGAGGTCAGGAATCGGGACTGGGTCCCGCTTCCAGGACAGCCTTGGGGCACCAGTTCCCGAAGAGGAGCCGGACCTGGGCAGCAGGGTCCTGCTCCCCCGGCACTTGCCGAAGGTTAATTCGAGGCGTTGCCCACTCTAGGCATTCCAGCCCTCCTCCAGGATCGCCGGGTGGGTCTCGTTACTCCCTCCAGCCTTGAATCTCTGCGGTCTCAGGGCATTGCCCCAGCATTCGGGAGGCTCCGGGCCGGGGGAATTCCATCTTTTTCTCTCTCTGATCTTGCATCTTCTGGAGCCTGAACACAGCGCTGTCGTGGTCTGAGCAGGGGCAGGGGGTGTTCTCACTGGAGATCTTGACCCCTTCAAGTTATCTCGAGCTCTCCTGCCAAGAAGAGGGCTCATTGGACAGCAACGCAAGGTGCTTCATTCCTTGCTCTGGGGCCAAGTGCATTTTAGCCTGGGAAAACAAGAGACAGGAACTCAGAAACGAAGCCCCCAGCACTGGATCTATTGGATCTGTTGTTAACCTTGCTGCTTTTGTCTGAGCTGAGCAAATTCCCTGGCACTGGAGAAAGCCCCGCTCATCCAGAGCCACAGTGGCTGCCTGCAAACGAGCTCTTCCTTGGGGCCATGCCCGCTTAAGTTTCTCAAATGAGGTTTTGGAGCTAACCCCAACTTGCTGCAGGCGTGATTGGCTGCAGGACAGGGCGCTTCGAGCATTCGGGAAGTAATGTGCTCAAGCCTGTGCTGAGCTGGTGTTGCAGGGGTTGAATCCTGCTGGCAGTCACTGATAGATCCTGGGGCTATTTCAGTCTGTGGGGTATAAATAGCAGAAGGTTAAAGCTGTGTCCCAGAGATGCTTTTCAGTGCAGGAGCTTCCAGATCGGTGATAAGCGCTTGTTCACATAGGTGGGTTCCTGGGGATGGACAACCCTTGGCCGTGGGGGTAGTGGTGGGTGGCTGGACTTTCTTCAAGCTTGTACCTGCTCTCGTTTTAGCACCTATTAGAGCTGGGCTTGCTCTTCTGGTGCCCAGTCCAGCCCCCCTGGAAATCGCAGAAAGGCTCCCACTGATTTCACAGCACTGAAATCAGTGGGAGTCATCCTGCTTGGCTCCCTGCGCTGAGAGTGCTTGCTGTTCCTAAGTCAGCCTAGACAGAGGCCTACCTGCCAAGGATGAAGACTGCAGATTCTTTAGGCAGCTCATTGCACTGTCGTGCTGCTCTTGCAGGAGGTTTTCTCCAAGCTTTGATCTACATCTGCTTTGCTGTAGGTTAGGCAGGAGTGAATGTGGCCCTTGGCATCATTGCAGCTGGCATGTATCACAACTACCCCGTAAAGCAGGGTATTTCTCAAGCTTCAAGCAAACGCAGCCCCTTCACCAGCAGGCAGGCCCTGTCGCAACAAGCTCCTGTAGGTAAAGCAGAGCATGAAGGGAGCCCAGCAAGAGGGAGAAGGTGGATCAACTGAGTGGAGAGGAGTTGGTAGTTGTGGGGGGAAGAATCGGGGAGGTTATTGCTGTAGGTGTCATGGCAGAACTTGGATGGTGGTTCCCTCTGCATCATCCTGTACTAGAAGAGGAGATGGTTCCTGGCCCTGCCGTAATCTTTTCTTCTGGCAGCAGAGCTTTCCCTGTGTTGTAGGAGAGGGCATGATCACTATGCACTTTGGCTTCAGTGCAGCAAGCAGGCATCTTTTGGATTCATCCTGATGGAGGTTCCTGTTACAGTCCTCCCGCTGGTGTTGGAAAGGGGTGTGCGGGTTAGCAGCTGAGCCGATCCATCATTCTTATGACTTGCTCCAGCCCCCTGCCAGGAAAGTTAAAAGCATCCCCGGGAGTAAACCAGTGACTTGTCTTCCCCAGCTGGGATTATTGTATCAGCTGTCCAGATTGTCTGCTCAGTCACCTCCTTCATCCCTGTCAATGTGGCGTCAGCGAAGCAGAGTATCAGAACATATGGAAGACCATCTCGGCTGATCTCCAGTCATGTCCATTAGCTTGAACTGTAGCCCAGGGTCACTGGTGTGCATGAGCTCTGGGCACTGCTTGATGAGGCAGCACCAGTGAAATGATCCCTGGTACTGAAGTGGGGGCTGGGCAATCTTGCTTGGTGGAACAGGGGAAGTGTGTCTTCCCTGCTGCTGGTCTGTGCTGTGGATAGCATCCCCAGGCACACTAGTCTCTTCATAGAAAGGTCTTTTAAAGTCAGAATTACCTTCAGGCTTTGAGTCCAGCATGCACAAGTGTTTGCTGAGCCAAGGCCCCAGGTTGCAAACTTTTTGAAGGGGGCTGATTGCTGCTTTCTGTAGCATGCCAGTGCTATGAAATAGTCAGTCCCTTCCCAGAACGAGCATTTGCCAGAACTAACGCACCAGGACTATAGAAGGGACTTGAGTAGCAAAGAGGGAGGGGCACCCGCTCATTGACAGTTCAAGATTGACAGGACTTCCCAGTACCTTGGCTGGTCTGGTCCCATAGGACAAGGCTGTCGCTACTTACTGGATGATGGAAATCTCACTGCTATGGACTTTTTCCTCATGCTCCATCTGGGTTACCCCCATTAACTTTGTCTTGTTAAGCCTTGCGGTCTCCCTTTGCACTGTTCCGATCGGTTGCTTTCTGTTGCTGGTTTTCATTGCCCTTCCTGCACCGCTTCATTCCCTGCTACCTGGTGTGTTCCTCCAGCCCCCTGATTGTCTCAGCTTCTCTGAACTCCCTCCTTCTCTTCTGCTCTGGACCACGCGTAATAGCCCAAGAACAGGCCTTGGACAGACCTCGGTCCCTTTCTGTCTGGAGGCTGCCGCACTTGCTGTCCAAAACCTCCTCAGCCATTTTTAGTCTTCATGTGACATAAGCTAGGCACATATTATTACAGCAGGGGAGGCTGCCAAGGGCTGCCTGTCCTGCTTATTCTGAAGCATTGCTCCATGCATGAGTTGGAAACACTCCCAAGTGCCAGGCGAGCAGTGCTGCCCACGTGCCCCTTCTCTAGCTCTGCCTGTGGAGGCCTCCCTATCTGATCTGACTGGTGATCACACAGGAGAGTCATGGGGCACCAGAGCTCTGACATAATTGAGATGCTGTTAAATGCTTGGGATGGGGGAAGGGGAGTAGGAGAAAAGGTTGCCTGTGACGTGGCCTGTGGCCTGTTCTCTGCTGCGTGGCGTGTTTGCCTGCCAGCCAGAGCCGAGGCACACCCAGCATCTGTCCCAGCACACCTGTGGCATGTGGGTGGGGAGGATTTCTCAATCCACAGAGTGCTAGGATTTGGCAGGCCTTTACTGGGGGGTGTCTGATCAGCTTCTCTGACCAAAGGCAGAACAGAAGTGCAAGCTGGGAGCCTACCCCCCTTTTCACGGGCACATCATGGAGGAAATCGGGCTCTGTCAGTCCCAACATTAGCAGCTCCACACTTTTAACTCTTGTGGGAGCTGGAGTGGGATTTTTCCCTTGTCCTCCTCGTGTGCCAAGGTATAAGTAGAGCACGAGTCATAAGTTAGTGACTTGGGCAGCTGAGAGCCAGCTGCTGCTTCCCTGGTCAAGGGTGAGTTCATGAGCAGGTCTTTTCCTCCTTGTTTCCCTGTTTAAAGTGGCTGCTTCTCCCTTTGGGCTTCAACAGGAAACCCAGCTTCACCCTCCAGCTGTCTGTGGGAGCGGAGGTGCAGAGGAGGGGATGTGCATCCAGTTCCATTGAAACTAGAACTGGGAAATTGTGCAACATTTCACGTGGACTGGGCAGCTCTGAATCCGGCCTGTCATGCAGATGCCAAAATAGCCTCATTCACCTCTCACTAATGATGGGACGTAAAGCCATAGGTTCCTGGCTAGAGGGTCTTGCCCCTCTGCTCAGGCTCCAACTGACACCATATTTGGGGTCAGGAAGGTATTTCACCCCATGGTCAGACTGGGAGGCAGGGGCTCACGTTCCTCTGTAGCGAGGGGCATGGTCTCAACCTGGGATCTCTTGCATATGTCGATATCCTTTTATAGAAGCAGGACGTTGGCTGCCATGAGAGTTTCTCTCCAGTCTGCTGATTTTTAGATGCTCAGTTTAATGCAACTGTGAGCTGCTTTACAGGGAGCCATGATTCAGCATTCCCTTCAAGCACCGTTTGTCAAGATGCTCTAACAGCCGATGCCAAATACACTGGCTTAGTCCTGTGTTTAGATGGCTGTGTCTTTGAGCTGACCTTCTGCATCCAGTGCCCTTTATTGACCAGTCTCTCAGCGCTCCCTCAGGAAAGTATCAGTTCTATTCCTCTTCTTTATCATTCTTCTAGGTCTCTCCAACCGACGTGCCAGGCACGTCCAAGAAGATGGAGGCACCAACCTCATCCAGGCTGAATTCCCGGAAGAGAAGAAAAGAAGGCCCAGGACCCAACGGAGCAGCAGAGCTGGATGGTATTCCAGCAAAAATGTCCCGCCGCGCCTTTGTAAGCAAGTATTTAAATTGGGGGTGGGGAGCAAAGTGAATGGCACAGAAGCTGCAGTATTGATCAGAGCCAAGTAAAATGTTCTGTGTCTGGAGAAGACAAGGAGGGAAGCAGTGTTGGTATTTGCTTCTTGCAAAGCAAGCATGACAGCTTTGCTCCATCAACCCAATGGAAGAGAGGGGCCATCACCAGGGAGGATTATAC